GAAGTTCAGGGTGTTGGAATAAAGGTGCAGGGCCGCCCTGTTGCTCTTCCTCACGTGCAGGGATACATACTTGGCGCTGAAGTTCTCGATCATGGCCCGTGAGGCCTGGTCCATCAGCTTCTGGGCCAGGCCGAGGCGCCGGTGGGAACGTTTCACAGCCAGTGAGGTGATGTGTCCATGAGGGACATCATCAGGGTCCTCCTCCATCTTGGCCAGGACATAGCCCACGATCTTGCCATCCTCATCCTCAGCAATGTAGGAGAGCTGGGGCCAAGAGAGGCCGTGGTAGAAGTAGTACTTCATCTGGTAGTTCTCGGGCAGGCACAGCAGGTTGCAGTGCTGCATGTTCATCAGGTCATCGGGCCGAGCACGGCGGATGTTCATATTGGCAGCAGACAGGCCTGTCAGGCTCGAGAACCACAGAGGATGCCACGGAGCACAAGCGACACCAGCACCGTTTGCCTCGAGGAATTGACACAAAGCGTATTTCAACACTCAAGAAACACAGCACTGTCGTTATCAATGTATCTTTGAAGACTATGGATTCAACAGAGTCCTGGGTATGGGACCTTAATGTAACTACATAATCTAATTTTGTATGCATGCTTGCAGAGGCTCACATTCAGGGTCTTGTCAAGGACTGAAATTCTTTGAGTGAGGACAGGGTCTCTGCCTATGAGGCTATATATATTCGTGTGACAATTAGGTCAAAGCCCTAGCATAGCACCAGACCTCCTGAGTTCCCTGCTAACTCCCGCACCTTCTTGGATTCTACCTGCAACAGCAATGTGTGCAAAGTATCTCAAAATAGGGGCTGCTCGACCTCTGGCCCTTGCTCCCACGTAGACTGGAACACAGACTCAGCAACACTGCTTCTCCTGCTACTGTCACCCAGGTATCAGTCTGCAGGTCACTAAAATTTTCACCCATGTTTCATATAAAACTGAGATTAAAATAGATGCCCATTACTTTTTTCCTTCAAGAAAATTTTTGAAAGAAATCTAAAAATAAAAGGGAAAAATATTGCTTTGCATATGCCTAGTATATGTATTTATCACAAATTATGGAACTTTAAAAAAATTCCATAAAATTATGGCATCATTTGTATGTGCATCCTAACAAGCATGTATCTGACTGAGCCAGGGAAATCCTTCACAAGCCCCACAGTGCACTCTGCTGGTCTGAGACTCCTCATGTAGCCGAGTGCTGACTTCCAAAGATCAGCTAACTTAATCATCACTGTCATGCAGAAGACAAGCTCTCAATGGTATTCTTTAAAAGCTCTATAAATATAAACTGGTCTTGTACAGCTCTCTAAAATTGTATCATGGGGGCTGGAGAGATGGCTCAGTGGTTAAGAGCATTGCCTGCTCTTCCAAAGGTCCTGAGTTCAATTCCCAGCAACCACATGGTGGTTCACAACCATCTGTAATGAGGTCTGGCGCCCTCTTCTGGCCTGCAGACATACACACAGACAGAATATTGTATACATAATAAATAAATAAATAAATATTTAAAAATAAATAAATAAAATAAAATTGTATCATGTGTGCATTAGTATTCACGGTGTGTGTGTGTATGTGGTACAGACACTCCATGGCACATATGTGGAGTCAGAGAACAACTTGTGGAGTCGGTGCTGTCCTTCACTGATGTGGGTTCCTGTGTGGCAAGGCCACCATCTGCTGAACCATCTCACCAGCCACAATATGTGTCTCTTTCAGAATATAACACATGCCAATATATCCCTAAAAATATTTCAAATGCCATTTGTATGGGCTTTTCAATACACAAACTGTCTCATGGTTTCTGTGTCACAGTATGAAGGAATAATGATGCCCAGAGCACTTCTGTGGCCAAGTATATTCCTACCCCACAGGACAAGATCATAGGTACAGGGACTGGCCACATGTACCAGCTTTACAGAACCCACTCAGTAAGCTCCAGAGCTTAATAAGGGTATCTTCTCCCTACCACCTTCCTTCCTAACTATTAATTTGAAACTAGCCCAGCATGAGGAGGAGGTGGGCCATGCAAGAGAAGCACACTGGCTAACGCAACACATCCCAGGAGACACGGGACACTCAATTCCAGCCTGACCACGGACTTTTACTCACTTTAAAACAGCTGGGATATCCAAACAGGACTCACACAAGATGAGAAAGATCTCCCACTATCTTCCATTTCTGCGGAGGGAGATTTTTAAATAGTTATATTGTTCTTTATACTAAAATCTTTAATTTCAAAAATTTATGTTCCCCAGGTTCCAGAAATATGAATTTCTATTTTGCTATTATACTATGAAAGTAAAACATTTAATAGTCTTTTTATTTTATTTTAAATTACACTTTATTTTGTACAGTATTCTGCCCCAGAAGAGTGTACCAGATCTCATTACACATGTGGTTGCTGAGAATCAGGACCTTTGGAAAAACAGCCAGTACCCTTAACCTCTGAGTCATTTCTCCAGCTCCCTTTAAGTTACGTTTTTAGTAACTATACTAAATCACAGCATGGCGGCCTATCTGTAATTCTAGTCTTCGAAGATGAAGATAGGGGTAAGCTGGCTAGCAAGACTAGCCTTAATGGCAAGCTCTAGTTTTCAGAAAGACCCCGCCTCAATGGATAATGAGAAAAAAGGACTGAGGATTATTGTTAACAAGGCCTCGGGCTACTCTCTGCAGGCCTGTGCGGGAGCACTGAGCATGTGCGTGCACAGGCACACACACAAAATGGAAAAGAAAGTTGGGTGACATAGCCCGCCTGCCTAGTATGCCAGCACCATAGTTTTAAAAAAGGGAAAAGTGGGGAAGTTATTAAGAATGTAATCAAGACCCGGCAGTAGTTGCACATGCCTTTAATCCCAGCAGAGGACGCAGAGGCTGGTGGATCTCTCTGAGTCTGAGGCCAGTTCTGGTCTACAGAGAGAGTTCCAAAACAGTCAGAGCAGTTATACAGAGAAACCTTGTCTTGAAAAACAAAACAAAATGACTTTGGACAAACAAAAAAGCAATTTAAAAGGCTAAAGAAAATATTTTAAAATGAGACTAACGAGCCCATTACCAAACAGAACACAAGTCTAGTAGAACTGACAGTTGCCATCTGCACCTGACACAGCACAGTGAGAAAAGAAAAGTACACGTCTGGCAGAAAAGTTCTCCTTAGCTGGGGAAAGCCAAGCATGACACCTAGGCACCCTGACAGGAAACCCCACCCGAGGTTGCTCATGCCACCACCTTCAGGTTAGGACAGTTAAAGAGCAGCTGCCCCTGACTAACAGACTCAACAGAGGAAACTTGCTTTTAGTGCTGCTTTAGCATTTGTTGATGTAAGGGATCCAACCACCTCATTCTTACCTCAGACCTGACTGGCAAGACGGCCAGCGCGGGACAGAAATGCTACCCTCTCACTCCAGCCACACCCTCAGGTCTGCAATGTCCTGGCGTCCAAGGAGCAGGGCAGGGATGGCTGAGAAGTACTGCTGAGTTCAATTTCCACTGAAAGGTTCCTGAATTCCCTAGGACCCTCTTTAACAAGGCTTCCTGGGCCTCAGCCCAGACCAACAGAGCTCCTGAGACTCTCTTCAGAAGCACTCCCAAAGAAACCTGTGACAACTGAATGTGCCACTGTCCTTGACTATTCTCTCCTAAGTCCGAAAGCAGAAATCAATCAATGGAAGGCAAAATAACATTGCCTTTCTTACACACACACACACACACACACACACACTCCTGTCTGACTCTAAAGCTTCACTTGCAGCACACATAAATGAAGTAATGCTACGGAAAAGCCACTTGGGAGATAAGAATTACTTGAGGCCAGCTTATGTTAGCATTTGTGAGGGGAAAGGAGTTCCATCACTTCTATTAGTGTTTACTCTTCTTGAAAACAAACTCTCGGGCTAGGCATGGGCCTTCAATCCTAGCCCTGGGAGGTGGAGGAAGAAGCAGGTAGACAAGTTCCAGAGCTACTTACAGAGGCCCTGTCTCACGAAAACAAATAACTATGAAAGAAAACAAAAGAATGTTGAAATTACTTATGGAACAGTATCATTAAACATTACTACTTTACCGTCTTTGCCATTTGCCCTGTCGTTATGCTCAAAAGCCTAAGTAAGTTATCCTACAATTGTCTAAAGGAATTCACAGAAAGAGAATAAACCTCCTAACCAAAGTGCTTTGGAGGGTCATGCCTCCAAGTCCCAGGGCTTGTGAGAGGCATTGAGAATTAAAGTTCAAGATCAGGCTGGGCTACACAACAAATCCTTTTTCTCCCTCTCCCCAAAAGGAAGAAAAAAAGGTTAAAAAGTTTACCACATTAACCTAGAAGTTCTGGTTTACAAACACAACAAATAAAGAGCCAAGAAAGGAGCAATCCTGTTAAACTAAGGTACTTAGGTAAGTTCCAACACTCCTGGCAAAGCTTGTTCACTATACGCACAACACAGGAACTCTTCTTTTTCCTTTCTTTCCTTCCTTTTTCTGTTTTTTTTTTAGACTAGGTCTTACGTCCTGACTGGCCTGGAACTCAGATCAGTCTGCCTCAGATTCCAAGAGTGTTGAGGGTAAAAAATGCTTGTGCCACTGTACAAAAAAAAACAACAAAACAAGACAAAACAAAAAAACAATCGGGGTCCAAGGTGGTGCAGGCCTGTAATCCCAATACTCTAACGGGCTGCCGCTGAACGGTAATGAATTCAAAGTCCGTCTCGATTACATAGAAGACTTAGCTCAGCACAATTTTCCTACCCAGTCATCACACACACACACAAAAAAATCCATCATCACAATGAGTCACTTACTTTAGAGGAAAATCATAAATCTCTTCAAAGTTTATGAAACTGACTATTTCCGGCAGAAGCCTTTCCCGTACGTGTTCATGAACCCTGTCTCTCTCTCTGTGGGTCAATGGGTCTGCATGGAACACGGGGTTCAGGCTTCCATCTCGCGTCCAAACCGCGCCGCAGGGCCCAGCAGAACGAATACTGCACCATGCGTTACCTTTTCGGCGATGCTGTACAGAACCTCGTCCATCTTCATGCAAGTGGGGTCCCAGTCGTGTCCGAAACGAATGACGACCACGCGGTCCTCCTCCGACAGGATGGCCTGGTCTACCTGCCAGCCATTGTGCAGATGCGGGAGCATGTACGACATCTTGAGCGGGCCTGCGCGGCCGGAAGCCGCGAGCTACCTGCGGGTGCAGAGAGCTGTAAGATCGCGAACCCCACCCGGGTCCCAGACTCTCCGTCGAGGGCCGCCGCCCTGCGAACCCCGCAGACCACCGCCACCCACAAACCTCCAGTCGGGGCTCGGGGCCTACACCGGGCCTCGGCTCGCACCGGGACCGCACCCCTGCACCTCCGTCTCCACGGGGACCATACCCCGGCGGCCCCAGTCCCACGGGGCCACACCCAGCAACCTCTAACCTCGTGAGAGCCCACGCGGCCCGACCGCCCGCAACTCCTCTCAGCACCAGCGCCCTCCCGCGCCCCGGAACGTCCGGGCGTACGCGCTGACGTTGTCTATCGCTGCGGCGCAAGCGCACGCTTGCCCGTGCGCATGCGCGGCGAAGACGCAGGCGAGCCGCAGGCGTGGTTACCGCCACTCGGACGCTTGCCTTGCGCGCATGCGCGGTGGGGATGCGAGCGAGCCTTAGGCTCGGTTACAGCCACCGGAGCTGTGCTCGAGTGTCCGCGGAGGGCTGCGCTGTTGCAGCGGTCCGTGAGGGTATGGTTCCCGCCTTCTTGGCGGCCCGGTGCCTCTGCGGAGGGATGCTCTTGTCTGATCTACCTAGTGTTGTGGGGTGGTGGTTTGCCTCTACTTTTTTTTAGTTTTTGTTGTGCTGAGAAATATGCCAAGTGTTTGGCCAAACTTCAGCCATGCTCCTGATAGTTTCCGTAGGCTTATCTGTACGCTCTTGTGTAAAATCTACTCTTCCAGCGCCATCAGACGCTCCTGAGTATGACCAAGTTTTTGGTCCTCTACCTTACCGCAGAGGTCAGATCTTGACTTCAGCCATTGTCCTCCTCCTAATTTTCTCTTTCACAGATCCTTCCCTCTTCCCTCATAATTGTCCATAGTTGGTAGTAGAACTCATTTTCCTCCCTACAAGATCCTGGCGCCGTGTCCCAAACCATTTTCTTAAGCTTTTACAAGTAGGATTGATTGCCCTTTTCGTTACCATATCTATATCTATGTGCGTATACTTGTGTATATTTATGTGTGTATAAATTAGTCACTTTAACCATTTCCTGGCATTAAGTTCAAGGACATTGGTACTGTACAACCATGACCATTATCTCCTGATAAAATTTAGAAACTGAAAAACAGGGGCTGGAGAGATGGCTTTGAAGTGAAAGCAGTTTTTGCTCTTCCAGAAGACTCAGATTCGATTCCCAGCACCTAAATATCACCTGACAGCTGTGCATAACTCCAGTTCCAGGGAATCCAGCATCCTCTTCACATCTTCTCGGGCACAAGGCACAAACAGTACCCTTACATACCTGTAGGCAAAACCTTCATACACATAAAATAAAAAATGTTTTCTCTTACGTTTAAATTCATTCTTTTGCTACATAGTATGTTTGAGGCCAGTCAGAAATACATACGTTCCTGTCTCAAAAAATAAAATATTTTTTTTAAAAAACACCAAAACTGTAGGTACACAGGTCTGGTGCGGGAGAATTATCTGTATTCTGTCAATCATATTTTAATAAAACGCTGATTGGCCAGGCAGGCAGTATAGGCAGGAAAGCCAGACAGGAAGTAGGGGTGGAGCAAAGAGACTGGGAGTATTCTGGAAGCAGCTCTCTCTCAGCCATTCCTGCGCAGACCACCAAAGAGGCAACATGTAAGCTGTCACACTGAGAAAGGTATTGAGCCCATGTGGCTAACATAGATAAGGATAATGGGGTAATATATGTTATAAGAGTTAACAAGAAGCCTGACCTAATGGACCAATCAGTTTATAACCTTATGGAGTCCTGTGTGTGATTTTCTTTGTTGCTTGCCGGCTGTTGGGGTACTGGGCTGGACAGAAACCCCAACAAGTCAGCCCTCTTACTACATATGGCGCCAACGTGGATAACTGAATCCACAGAAAGCTTGAGAGAGCTTGGGAACAAATAGAGTAAAGCATGTTTTGTTGGTAGCAGCAATTTCTCAGGTCTGCTCTGTTTGCTAGAGGCAAACAAATGCTCTCGTCTAAGGGAGGCTTCCTGACTCAGCTTTAGCTGCAAAACTTTGTAGCTCATTAAGAGGTCCTGCCACGAAACACTTAAACGGTGTTGGTGAAAAACTGAATGCATGCTTTTCGGGTTTCAGCCGTAGCAGGAAAAAAAAAAGCTGCGCTGTTTTAAAATGCCGTCTTTCTGGGCTGTCCTGCCAGAGCAAACTCTGACTCTTTCAGGCAGGCAGTCCAACTGAGTGTGGTCTGTGAGCAGAATGCTGCAGCTTGCTTGCTGGCAAGGACCTTGAAACGCCATAGAGTTGTGGCAGTGAACACAGCTCTGGCTGGTACCTCAGCCTTGAGGCTGAAATGCTAAGGAATGAGCTGGATCTAGCTGTCAAAGCCACGGCTCTCCATATTGCTTAGTAAATTAATGGCTCATGTGGTCAGAAAAAGAAAAATATACAGTAAAGAGAGATTCAAAGAGGAAGAAAACCTCTAAATGGTTTACAGTGTGTATATGCAGGCTAAAAGTTAAAGTTCTTAAAGTTAAAAGGAAAGAAAGAGAGTAGTTGGGTGTGGTGGTACACATCTTTAATCCCAATGCCTGGGAGGCAGAGGCATATTGACCTCTGTGACTTCAAGGGGTAGAGGTAGATTGACCTCTGTGACCTCAAGGTGTGGTAGTACACGCCTTTAATCCCAATGCCTGGGAGGCAGAGACAGATCTCTGTGAGTTCAAGGTGTGGTAGCATACACCTTTAATCCCAGCACTGGGGAGGCAGAGACAGGAGGATCTCTGTGAGTTCAAAGACAGCCTAGTCTACAGTGTTATTCCAGGACAAAGATATACAAAGATCCTGTCTCAAAAAGTAAAAGTAAAAATAAAAGAAATAGAGGTTAAAATAAAGCCACATAAAGATGGAAAATGCACAGAGAATCTTCATACTGTATGCTTTTATGCTCTCTTTAAATTGTTTGATTGCTGAGGAAGGAGCAACAACTGCTAAAAGACTTTTGTTTATAAATGCTGCTGAACTAACCCAAGATAGGAATTTTGAAAATACCTTGGCTTCAAAACTGAAGTCAAAAGGTATGTTACTTTGGAGAAGAGATTTTGCTTTTGTTTCCACAGAAAACGAGAGACTCTGGATTTATTCAGAGTTAAGAATAATCACCTTTGACCAAGGGAGGCCACCTGAAAAATCTCCGATAGGAACAGATGGCCCAGATGACAGAGGTCTACATCCAGAACTGATCCAAGACTGCTGCCTGAGATGATCGAGACTCACAGGATACTCCAGTCATGACTTGATTATAACTCTAAATTTTCTTTAGGTCCCCTTAAGACTATCAGCGCCCCCAACCAGCAGGAAGTAGCCTGAAATACTATGCCCACATTCCCAACAAATGGATTATGGGTATTTTCCTTTGTTTAAAAAAAAAAAAGAGGGAAATGGTGCAGGAGAATTATCTGTATTCTGTCAATCATATTTTAATAAAACGCTGATTGGCCAGGCAGGCAGTATAGGCAGGAAAGCCAGACAGGAAGTAGGGGTGGAGCAAAGAGACTGGGAGTATTCTGGAAGCAGAAGCTCTCTCTCAGCCATTCCTGCGCAGACCACCAAAGAGGCAACATGTAAGCTGTCACACTGAGAAAGGTACTGAGCCCATGTGGCTAACATAGATAAGGATAATGGGGTAATATATGTTATAAGAGTTAACAAGAAGCCTGACCTAATGGACCAATCAGTTTATAACCTTATGGAGTCCTGTGTGTGATTTTCTTTGTGCTTGCCGGCTGTTGGGGTACTGGGCTGGACAGAAACCCCAACAAGTCAGCCCTCTTACTACACAGGTCTTTCCCCCTTTTCTTCCTGGCGATTTGCAGGGCCGTTTGACCTCTGGCTCCCTGGAGATTCTGCACTAGCACTGGCTTGAGGGTATAGTTTAGAAAGAACTTGGCTCTCTTTTGTTATGGTAATTCCACCTGTAAACAAGGTTCCAACTGCTGGCCCTACACGCCTGCCTCCCACAGCTGATTCTGCCTGAGGCACTGGGCACCTGTAATCTTCTTCTACTGCTCCTGATGGGAGGGGGCCGTGCCCTTTTGCCCCCGTTGCCCACTAATATAAATACCCGACTTGAGTTTAATAAAGTGGCCATTTACTCTTTGGGTGAATGAGCAGGTCTCTTTGTGTGTGTCTGTTTAAACCCTTAGGACAATCGTCCATTCTTGTGGACTCGGTTTGGGAAAGCGTGCACCTGAATCGGGCCTGGGTATTCACAGAAAAGTGCGGAGGCTAACACAAAACCTTTGTTGACATGTACTGCATACATGTGAGATGAGGTCGGAGAACTGTGGATCTGAGACTGCAATCAAAGTTTAGGGGGAAAGTCACTCTTGAAAGAAAAAGCAATTGTTTCCCACTTCCTTATCTCTTCGTCTTCTGGCAGACACCAACCTATATTCTGCTTATAGATTGACCTATTTTAGACATTTCAAATAAATGGAATTGTATTTAGTCACACCTAGCAGCCTTCCCAAGTCCAGATAGCTTCGTGTTCTGAAGTCCATACATGTTGTAGCTAGCATCAGTATTTCCTCGTATTGCCTTTTAACATTCAATTATATGGATATACCTCTATATACTATTTCTCAGTTCACTGACATTTAGGTTCTTTTTTTTTCCTCTTGCTGTAAATAGATTCTTCCCTCACATAATGTATCCTGATTGGGAGATCCCGTGTGTGCATCAAGGGGTCAGCAGGCAAACTACTTAGGTCTCTGCCCAGGGCAGATATATTCAGCTCAGCACAAATCTCATTGCTCGATGGGGCCCACTCCAGCTGTGACCCGCCGTCCTTCTGCTCATCTCTCGTGACACTAGCCTTATACTCTGCCTCTATGCTTCTGTGTCTTGCCTTCCACAGCCCAATGTCTCTGCGGCTCAGTTCTGAACTTCAGGTCAGCTTAAAGTTTCACACCTGAGACTCTGCAGCTCAGCTCTAAAATTTCAGCAGATCTCCAAATGGATTTCTTATATTTCTAACCACTTCTGTCTCCAGTAAGGTCTCTTTGAACTGTGGGACCTTGTTAAAACTTTTGTAGCCTCCCTTAACCTACACACACACACACACACACGCACACACACACCTTATGTGTGAGGTGTAATGTGTGATCCAAGAGTTAATAAGATTGGTGTTAAAGAACCTGTATTTACCAATAAGCAATTGGAAACCAAGAGTATT